GTGATGTGGTGAGGCATGCACAGCAACCGATATACTTTCAACCCTAAAGTTTTGGAACACCGATTTGGTCTCAGAAGAACCCTATATATACGGAACTGCCTTATATCAAGGTACACCATTGAACAATCTAGCTCAATCTAGTCTGCACTTGCTGGCTATAGTTCTGCAAATTTCATGGCAGACATGCCAGGAATTGAATATAGCCTTTCTGCGTGCAAAGCATTTGTTCCACCTCTGACCTCCATTCCTTATTTATTGAATTTTCTTACCTGCTACATCTGCCAGGGAATGCCTTCTATATCCATACTGCACCAAAAAACTGCTCTGAGTCAATTCAGATACCAGGAGATCAGCCCTTCCATAGCTGTTTCAAACATTCTATTGCTGACATGGAAATTATCTATAATAGATTTTGTACACACAAGGTAAAATTTTCAATGGGAGGTAAGCTTGTGCCACAAGGGTCCCTGGTTTGGCCTGACACTGCACTCATTGCATCTTAGATCCATATAAGCAGAGTCTGGATTTTGAATAGGACAAAGTAGCTTGCATAGCTATGGACTAGTTTACACAGATTTCTGTGGAACACAGTGACTTTACTGTGCAAGATATTTCTCTTTCCAAGCAGAACCAGTCAAGCACTTACTAAGTTTTATTAAGTTAATGCAAGCCAATCAGATTGCGTAGAAGTCAATAAAATAAAATGCATAGTTTGAATACTACTCCATTATTGAGAGGTCTATCTTAACCTTTCCAGATTCAGAATATCCATACATGCCTCTAAGGTGGATCTTCTTGCCTAAGTGCCAATCATTAGGAGCACCTGACTTTTATCAGCTGATCTGTCCTCTTTAGCTGATGTTGTAGGTTGGGATTGGCTGATGTGCCCTTCTCCTCATTAACAGGTGTTTGTCTGCAGCTGAGAGTCTCAATTACTCACTCCCGACTTATCTCTAGGTGCACTGGCCTTGGCTTCTCAGGGACAAATGCTACTTCTTCTCTGAGTCAGAATCAATTCTCATATCTCTTGAAGGTTGTTTTGCAGGAGAAATTATCCTGGTCCCTACAACACCTGTCTCAGACACTGGATTAGAAAGCCAGTTTTACTGCAACCTACTGTTTATCAATGGTTGCTCCCTTTCATTTCATATGAGTATCTATCATTCGTTCCTGAGAATGAAATACTGTGCCTGAAGTGAAACCTTGTATATTAGCCTGAAACTGATCAGCTCAATGTCCACCAATAGAGATGGTTTAAGAAGGATGCAGACAATCTGGAAAAGGGTTCAGAGGAAGGTAACAAGGATGATCCATGGACTGGAAACAAAACCCTGTGGTGAGAGATTGACAAAACTGGGCATGTTTAGCCTTGAGAAAAGAAGACTGAGGGGAGATTTGATAGCATTCTACGAGTATTTGAAAGAGGAAGCACAGGATCTCTTCTCTATCATTCCAGAATGTAGAACACAGGATAACAGGCTCAAATTACAGGAAACCAAGTTCTGGCTAGATACCTCGTACCAGGAAAAACGTCCTGACTGTTAGAGAAACATGGCAATGGAACCAATTACAGAGCGAGGTTGTGGGCTTTCCCACACCTAGAGGCATTCAAGATGCAACTGGGCAGCCATCTGAAAAAAATGTTTAACTTGGAGTCCTGCACTGAGCTGGGTTGGACCCAATGGCCCTCTGGCCCCTTCCAGCTCTAGTATTCTATGATTCTGTGGTACAATGTCTATCTGCAGAGATCCTTGTGATGTGTAGACTCCTACCCACTGTAGTTCCCTACAAAAACCAGACAGTTCTTGGCCTCAACACACATATTGTGTACCAGAGTGAAATATTTTTAACTCCTGAACACCTAGCAAAACAACTCTGCAGAAAACAGGCTGGTTTCATCTGTGAGTCTGCGTATAATTTGCTTCTGTGGCAGTGTCTTTTGAGTAGTAGTGGGGCAGAGAGAAATTGACTCCATTACAAAACACTGATCTATGTTCATCATGTAATAATAGTAACATGCAGCTCCTGTTGATTAGCAATTTTGTCACACCGTGCCAGACAGGCATTTGGCTCCAGACAAAAAAATTACTTTTGCCTCCCATGATTGTACTGTGCAAAAGCTGGAACCTAATTCCCACTAAGGTATGGATGCACCTCAGGACATTTCTCCTTCAGCACAGAGTTCCTAACTCAATAAAGGATGCTCAGCTAATACTGAAATTGCACCTTCCATTTATACCTCGAGCAAAGTTCTTTGAAAGTTTTATGGTCTTAAAGGGTTTATGGAAATATCAGGAAAACATTCTATCAAAAATGTATGAAGACATTTAGCTTCTTTTAAACATTGGCAGATTTATTGCTGACAGTTTAGACCTGTTTTTTTTTTAAACACACAGTTTTGAGTCAGTTTCCCTTAAAGTGGCAACTTTGAAGGCCCAGAAAAGGCACCCACCCAGTCTCCTATCCCTTCTCCCAAGGCCAGAACTCACCTTCCAATGCATTCCATGAAATCAGTGCAATCGGGTTAGCTAAAGAGAGTCAGTAGCTTTAAGGCAGCATAGCAAGGAGCACTTTCCAGCTAATGCCAGACCTGGCAAGAAGAAACCACAACATGGTTTCCCTGGATACTGACATGCATAACCATTAAGGCCTGGAGACAGAAAGACTCTCCTGGCCTGTGTAGCTTGCCTTGCTCTATTTAACAAAGTATGAGGAGGAAGAGGAAGAAGAAGGTATTAGAAAACCCAACTCCTTCCATGTTTCAGAGATAATCATCAGTAGAAAAAAAGCAGGGAGATACCAGGAGCCACCACAGGTCTGAATTTATCCATCCACCCAATAGCTAAGCCCTAATACCAAGATGCAAATTACCACAAGTATTATAATTAAATGTTTGTTTAGATAAATTAAATGAATTAGTAAATCCTATACACCTACAGAAAGCATTTTCACACTTTGTTTAAGGAAACCTTGGGAAAATATTTGGGTTCCTTAATGGGAGAATCAGAAAAGGCGGGCACACCTTCCCTTATTCTCAGACAATATTGAGTCTCAATAAGCCTGGGAGGTTCCCTACATGTGCTATCCGACTCAGAATGCTTAGCTATGTGCTGGTGATGTACAGCAGAGGGCAGGAGTTTCCTGAACAGCTGAGAAAGCATTCCCTAAAAGGACATCTAAAAACACCATTTTCCACAGTAAATTGTAGTTCTTGTAGGAATTAGACCCATTCCTCCTATAATACAGTCTTCAGAGTTGTAAAATCAGATTATGTCCATTGATTGATGAGGGGACAGAATCCACAGCAGAATTGCCAAGGCCAACAGAGCCAAACACAAGCCAGGAAATCAGTGAGAACCAGACAGTTGCAACTTTTGTGGGAAAGTCTAGTGCGTCAACTGCTATGGGAGGGGCAAGCTGAGCATCATTAATCCAATAATATGGCATCAGATTAAAAGACTGGACTGAGAAGTGTCAGAAGCTTCAAGCTTCAAGCAACTGGTCCTTAAGCAGCATGATTTATCTTGAAGTAGGGGTTTGCTCATTTCAGTTTGGAAGGAAGGAAAAGAATTCATTCTGGAATCAACTTTATATTATACTGCTGCATTTTCCTAATGGCCAATATTGTAACCTCACTGCATTATTTCTGATTGCTTCATTTGTATTACAAAGCCAGCAGGCAGTATCATTCTCACAACTTATTACAGAATAAACTGAAGGGAGCTACCATCTCCTGCTTCTGTCTGTTCCTCTTATTCTCTGCAGAGGTACCTGACTTTATGAATTGGCTGGACAGAACATTTTATACTCTTAATTTAGGAGAGAAGGAAGAACCAAATTTATTCTTAACAAATTATACTTCTTTAAAGGTATAATACTGGGCTTCTATAGTTTTTTTTAATAAAGCAACAAATCAGTTTTCATGGAAACAGAAGAGATCATTGAAAACCTCTGCTTTGAGAAGATCTATCTTCTTTCTCTTGTTTAACTGACCCTGCTTAATGGCTGCTGGATCATAATTCACTGGTGTAACACATAATTTGCATCCAAGGTTGAATTCTCCACCAGGCAAGCTGGAGAAAGAACCTTCCTCGGAACCCTGGAAAAATGTTGTGAGTGTTAACAAAACTGGGCTAGAAGAACATAGGCTCTGAGTGCTATGTTCCTAGAGTTATACTTTGATGCCCAGCACAAATGTGAATGCAGTCTCCAGTTCACAGCTAATTCAGATGGAGACTGCAGCCAAAAAGATAAAAGCAGACTGAGATTTGGAATGGGAGCAATGAAGGAACTTGAAAAGAATATCAACTATAAGAATGTTTCACCGGAGACCAAAGCAAAGATCATCCATACTATTGCATTCCTCATCAATATGTATGGTTGTGAAAGACCATGTAGAAAGCTGGCAGAAAGAAAATGGATGTGTTTGAAACGTGGTACTGAAGGAAAGCTTTGTGAATACCCAGGATTGATAGAAAGATAAACAATTGGGTCCTAGATCCAATCAAGTCAGAACTTTCCCTAGAAGCAAAACTGACAAAACCTGAGATGTTGTACTTTGGGCACACCATGAGAAGGCAAAACATGTTGGAGAATCATGCTAGGAAAAACTGAAAACAGAAAGACCAACGATGAGACAGATTGAGTCCATAAAGGAAGTCACGGCCTGAGCTTACAAGAACTGAGCAAGGCTACCCTTAAGCTGAAAGTGATTTGACAGCACATAACAACAACAACAATGCACACAACAAATGAGTATCTTCCACAGCAAGAAGGAGCTGAGAGAATGGGCAGGAGACCCTCCCTGTGCTTCCTGGGAACAGGAAGGGAAGAGGCTTCCACAAAAAATGAACGCTTAGCTGTAGCAGCTTTTCTCAGTTTTAGGCTCTGCACAGGCACAAAAGCCCATACATGTGATACACAGAGACCACAAAGAACTTCTTTTCAATGCAATAGATTAGATATTTTAAGGGAAAAGATGGCTCATTAGGCTCACTCACCAATGGTGTAGTATCTCTTCAGCTCACCCCTCCGTGGATTGCGCCGCTGAGTATTTGTGGTGTTGTTCTGTTCCTCTTCAGAAGTAGTTGTGCTAATTACTTGCGCAGGCTTAGTTGGCTGCAGTGCATGTTGTGCTGCTGTTGCCAGTGGTTCATAACCTGATGCCGAAATATCAATTGACTGCGACTTATTCTTTAACCTAAAAAAATGGATACAACATATTGTTGGTACTCTGGGTGACAGCTGTATGACAGTGTTTCTCTGGCTACGTGGAACTGACAGGGAAAATATACTGTATATCAATACAAAGCAGAGATACATGGGTACCTAAAACTTATAAGAAGATACTCCAGAACAATGAGACAGGCTAACTTTCTTGACCAGCATCTTTACTGCCAGGCAGACCCTTCAGCTCTTTTGCTCTAGGAAGAAAAGTCTAGCAGCAGGATATTGTCTATTTATGTATTTATAATTTTCTATATTGTCAATTATTTTCACAGAAAATCTCAAGATGGTTTACAATCATAAAAAATAAAACATTTGTATTTGTTTTATACATCACCTGCCCAAGACAAAAATACACTGTAGATTATCAAAAGGGTTGTTCCCAGGGTTTGGTATCTCTGCAAGGGTGTCAAATTTAAGCTAGGCCATCAACATGTAAGGACCAGAAGGTTCTCTCTGACTTCCCCAAATTATGTCTCTTTCTGTGAAATTCCATTATCAAACTTTGAAGCCAATCTAGGCTGAAAAGGGGAGTATAACTAATAAACAATTATGAGATCAAAGAGCTACTGGGCACCACATTCAAAAGCACTTCAATGCATCTGCTGTTTATTTTTTTAAGCATTTAAGCTTCTTACACAGAGTTTATACAGCAAGTTGTTCTAGATGGTGGTCTGCAAATCACGGTTGCTTTACAAATGCTTCCAAGGCTCAAGTAATTCAATCACATCTTGGCTTTTTCATCCTGGTAGTGTGGCAACTTGGCAGCTGTGGGCACCCCCATTTAAGGGTGTAAGATCTGGTGCAGCACTACCAAGGCTAAAACACATCCATTCTCCTCAGTTCCTAGATGCTCTCAGTCCCTTAGGGATGACTGGCCAAGGATCCTTTGCAGCCTACCTGTGCCTTTACAAGTTTGCAGCTAGATTGCAGGTTTTATTCAGCATGTTGTGTGCAAGCTTGGTGTTGGAACAGTGCAGTGAGCCCCCAAAATCTGGCCTGCCTTTTGTGAGCATCTCCCTTCACATCTCCAAAGTACAGAATAAAAGATTTATTCAGCATTCAAGGAAAACACAAAATGGGAGGAGACTTCTGTGTAGACTGCCTATTTGGTTCCTCAGAGATCTACACTGTCCATGGCAAAGTATCGGGTCTTCCTCCCTCCCTTTGGCTGGAAAAAACTACACCTGGGAACCTGTACTGGAGAAGCCTTGAGTGATCTTTCCATGTGCCTGCTTCAAGCTCCTTCTTGGGGAACCCTGCTCCTGGGACCTGTGCTGAAAGAGAAACAACCATCCCTTCCTTTCTTAGTGGAATAAATCTCCTCTGGTCCCTCCTGCTCACCTAAGTAGAGGTGCACTCTGAATATCGGACACACCGTCATTTAACGTAAATATGTAAAACATTCTAGCTGGCTATTATTTATTTATTTATTTATTAAAACATTTTTATGCCGCCCCATTCGCCGAAGCCTCGGGGAGGCTTACAAATGCTTTCTTAAATTGAATCCCCTGGCCCAAATACTAGTTCCGTGTAATAACATTGCCACTGCTGTTGTCTTCATATCCCTTCAAGAAGGATATGTTCATTTAATGCCTTAGTGACTAGTAGTGCAGAACAGAACTAGATGTCTGGAAACACCTGTTGCACAGCAAAGCTTCGTAGGCACCCAAACATGCCCACGCACAGGCTTTACAGCTGTATTCTGTGGCTGGATCAAAGCAGATGTGGAAGATTAATGGGCTACCATCTGAATATAATTTCAAGAGCAGCAATGATTAAACATACAGGAGTTTAGTTTTGGAAGAAAAACAGATTTAAGCCCTTTATCTCCCAGGAGACAGAAACATGCCCATGCCACTGAAATTTGCTTTTTCTGTAAAACTGCCAATGAACCAGGTGCCAGCAAAAAAATGAAATACAAAATAAAGTTCAACTCTATGCTACGTACTTTATTTACAGAGATAAGAGAATTACTGCATTCCTATATCAGTATTATATAAACAGTTTTTCTAAAAGCATGGTTTATATAAAAAGAAATGTACTGATATGAAGATATTCCAATTCAATTTCCAAAGAGCTGCCTATGCTACCTGGTTTAGTGACATTCACTATTTATTCCAATATAGTTATAATTGTTTCCCCTGAAATGGATAATCTTTGTCTCTGAAATAGTAATTCTGAATAAATGATGGCATGGAAAATATTAAATTTATCCATCATTATTATGGGACTCATGAATATTATTCTATACAGCCCTTTAAATTATAGCTTTCATTTCCAATATCCTAATAAATATATTAAAAGATGAAGAATTCTTTGCTTCAAATAAAGATGGATGTGCTTTTCAAAACTTCTCTCAAATTAACCAGAAGTTACTTGCATTTTATTGTTATGGAGAGCGAAGTGGAATAATTTAGGTAATTTCCTTAGTAAGTCCAAGGGCTACAGGGAGAAATAACCCCCTAAAGATCATAGCCACTTGCTACTCATTTGCTGTACAGAGTTTAATATTTATTTTTACAGTGCAATACAAAACAAGCCAAAACACATCAAGAGGAAAAAATGACTAAAACATTACAATTTTTGAATAAAAAAATAAAAGATCCATAGCACTTGTTTATATACATACATACATATGGCATGTCTCTCTGTATTAGCATGTATCACAATGTACTGCATATAAAAATAATTATCTATGTGCCAAATATCCATATATTTATCCATTTGCATAGTGTGCCTAAAGCCCACCTATTCAAAAACAGAAAGTTTCATTAAATCCTCCAGCCATCTTGTTATTACAGGTGCCCATTTATCCTTCCAATGCTGTAACTGACAAAAGGGTATGGAAAATCAATTTACATTGACCTTGCATTAAATTCCAAGAGCTCTCTAGCTGCCACAACCAGAGGGGGCACATTATCTATTTGGTATGATAAGAAGCCAGTGCAGTCGTCTTGGGAAGAAGATCCAGAAGTAAAGATTCCAAAACTGGCCAGGAGGAGGAATCTAATCTAAGTGGAAAAGACCAACATCTACTGCGTGTCAACAAATTCATTCTGAATGGGGGTAGGGAGAAGGACACAAATTGGAATGGTGGGAGGAGGGTCTGGTCTTCCAACAGCTTAACTTTTGTTCTAGTGGTGTATTCATTAAAATGATTAGTTGGAATGAAAAATATTGCGGTTCTTCTGCAGGGAATAGACTTCTCTCCTACCTCAGCTTTATCCTTGTCAGGTCTTAAATTCCCCTTCTTGAAGGGATCAGGAACCACCTAATGTAGGAATATAACTCCCAGAGTCCTATTTTGCACTCGGCACCTCTTATTTCAAATAAGTATTGTTCATCAATGTGTCTCCGTTTTCTTAGATTTCAGCTGGAAATTATGACTCCATGTTTTTGAGCAGTAGAAGATTAGAAGTCCTAAAGCTCCCCATGAAGAAAAGAATTCTGACAAATAAGTTTGACAGCAAAATTTCTTTTTCATTGGTTTTTCAATTTTCATGCCATGCTTTTGTGCAAAGACCAGATTGTACAAGTTAATTCCCCTTTTGCTAACATTGTTCTTCATTTGCAAAGATTAAGTGCATGAAAGTTTCTTCTTTTAATTGTCTGTAAAAAGAAGCAAGCATGGCATTTGAATTGTTTGGTTGCCTCCCTCCGCAATAATGAACAAGTCTACTGTCTGATATTCTACTCTAAACATTGATAATTGCTCTAAAAAGTTCTGTGCCATTATTATTGAGCATGTGTCAGATAAATTGCTATTTCCCTATGAGGGAGATGTATAAATATACAAATAAATCCAAAAATGTCAAGGTAGAAAACGAATGACTCAAGCATCAGGAGAGACATGCCAAGATCCAAAAGGAGGAACAGAAGGTCGTTTAAGGGAAATCAGGGGTAAAGGGTGTGCTTTGCTTTCAAGGGTTCCAAGTTCATTCCCAAGCATCTCCAAGAAGGGCCCATGAACCATCTGCCTGAAAATCTGGAGAGCCAGGTAGCATGGCTGGCTGGTGAAGAATACAAATTTTTCCTGATGACCAAACAACAAGGGTCAGTGAGACACAAGAGAGTTGAAAGTGCAAAATAAACCTCTACCAAGAAGGTAAGAATGTGTAAACGATAAGCCTAGAGCCAGTTGTTTTGACACCGGAAGTGTAGGTTAAGATAGCCACAAAAGTAACGGAATATTTTCTGCATGGTGTTTTGCAAAAAGCTAAACATATAAAGGCCCTGTGCATGATGGCTGTGGTGGCTGGTCTCGGCTGGAGATGGGCTTACTCTCTACTGCTAGTGTGCACCTACAATAAAAAGTCTTCTTGTATAAAATTACTTGCTGGTGTTGCCTGTCTCTCTCACGGCCAGACAACAAGCAAGAGGGGCTTCTTTTTTGTCCCCAACACTGGACATGCAGGGGGTTGGGGGCCTTTGATTGAACCCTAAATGTAAGCATCTTGCACCTAGTTCTGGCTGGTGAATCTTGGTTTTCTAGCACAGAGAGAGAGAGAGAGAGAGAGAGAGAGAGAGAGAGAGAGAGAGAGATCTGACAGGCTTTGTCTGCCTACCCACATTAGAACATTGAGCAGCATATGAAGTGACATCTTATGCTCTGGTGCACACACATCCACACACACACAAAAAACAATAGCCCTCTTCAGGCATACACTCTCACCCCCATAGATTGCCTTCACATGAGGGGAGTGCCCCATCAGTTGCAGCCCCATTGCTGGATTCATTGCATTCTACATATTGTTTATTAATGTCTCAATGCATAAGAAAGACTTGGTGTTTTTGCCCTGGCTTATAGCTCACTAAAAACAATAATTGATCATGTGTTGCAATGGTTGATGCTGCCTATCTTGGAATTGATCTGAAACGTTTTAATGAAAGTGTGATTGAATGAACTGTTTGAATTTCTTATTACTGAAATGATACGCACTTGTCATGGGTGCTTTGTAACTGGTATGCTTC